ATCTTTTGGACCATCAATAATCTTATGAGTTTTCCCAGCTTTAATTTTGTGTTGATATTTAAATTAAACGTTTAATATTTATCATTTCCAAATGTTTAAATGACCCCAATTCCCTTTGTCACAATTCCCCTCCCCCAACATCTAGTGTTCCGGATACATATCTTATCTATCTCACTTCTATATCAACAGATTAGTAATACAATATAATATTCTTATTTTCATTATAATTTCCAAATATTATAGATTCAATAACCAAAATTTCTCCCATTTCAGCATTCTTCCTTATGTCCACTTTCTCATATTTAAGCTTATAATTTTTATTCTTATTACTACATCAAAACATGTTAATTACGTTACATCACTCTTAACATATATATGTCTTAATCACCTTTATCTAACCTTTATAAACAACTCAATATTTCAATTTAACTGTTGATATTTATGGATCTAGGCTTTAATTAGCCAACATTTTTCTTTATCTTCACATCATAACAATATCTTGTATTCAAAATACGGATCTTGTCTAATTAGGTATATTCTATTTTAAACTTCCTAAATATGTCCACACTCCATTCTTCTTCAGTCTTATTCTGTCTTTTTTTCTTTGCCAAATCATCTTCCATGTTCTTGCTTCAGGGTCCTCAAAGAATTCTTGTATTATTGTATATATTATGTCATATTGAGATGACCATTCAGTCGCCATTTTTGGAAGGCTGAGGGGTCTGGCAGGACTACCAGATTGTCTCTTTATTTTCTCCTCTTGACGTAGTTGTCCTGAACTGTTTATCTTTTCTTCCATCTGTTTCTCTTGATCTTCAAATTCCTTCTGATTTATATAGCAAGTTTTTTCTTCCATCCATGTTGTCAATTTTTTTTCTGAATTTTCTGTTGTCTATACTTGTTGGGCAGTTAGGTCTTCTGTCATAATATTTAATTGTTCGATTTTTTCTGTTGTATTCTGTATAGATAGGTTTTTAGTTATAGTCAAAGTCTGAGTTTGCATATGTAAGACGCTTTCTGGTTTTCCCCCAAAAGCTCTTATTTCATCACCAGCTGTAAGAAGAGTTTGGTGAGTTTGGTAAGTTATTTTCAACATAGCAAAAATTTATTTTTGTATTTCTTCCATAGGAAAGATCTGTTCCTGGTCTTCCATAGTGATGAGTTGAATTGAAAACTTTTATAGTCCCCCCCCCAATAAATAAAAAACAGAGCTAAAACTCTCACAGCTGGTGTTCAAGGTTACATGAATCTTATCTTTTTTTCTGAACTGTCAGCCAAGTCTCTTTTCTTTAAGAATAACAAAGTGCAATTTCAGGTTTAGCCACAAGATGTCACCCCACTGTTTAAGGAATTCCTTTAAATCTCAAAGTTATTTTAATCCTTTCGGTTTTTTTCTTCTATTTTAAGAGGAAAAACCCAGACTTTCAAATAAAAATAGAAAGTAGAAAGTAGATAATCAAAAATCTTTTAATCCACAAGCTTTAGGAAATAAAGTTCCAATTGGGATCCAATTATTATTTCAATGTTTTCAAAACTCCCCTGTATAATCAATCGCCGCTGTCTCTGGAGAGAGGGCTAAAATCCCCCTTCCTTCTCCACAGGGGGGAAAGTACTTTAGCAGCTTGAATAGGTACAAAAAAGCAATTAGGATTTAAGAGAGGTAGATCTCACCCAGTCCTTTCCACGCTGCTTTGAAGTTGCCAGATGGTGAGTGTGACTTCGGCTGTCTGCAGCCTAGTGACGAGCCATATTTCTAGGGCTGGTCTTTCATCCGCCGGTTTGGAGGGATTCGCCGGCTCTAGCAGGAGAACTATTGCTCTCCTGCAATCCAGCGAGAGCCCCTCCTTGCTGGTCACCTCTACGGGGCGACTTTCAACCCTTTTCAGGGCCCCCCAGCGATGCAAAACTGGATGGGGGAGACGAAGCTCATCTCCCAGACATCCATGGTGGCTGGGGCAAACCGGAAGTAACATTGTAACATTGGAAAATTAATAAAAAGTTTTTTTAAAAAAAGATGACAACTTGTTCTGCCATTCAGAGTTAGAGGAATTGGAAAATATGGAATAGTACAGTGGTGGCGAACCTATGGCACGGGTGCAAGAGGTGGCACTCAGAGCCCTCTGTGTGGGCACGCGTGCCGTCGCCCTAGTCCTAGGCCTTCAGCTGGGTTTTATAAAACCTTTTTGCTTTAGGCCTCCGCCGCCATGTGCAAAAAAAAAAAAAAGGTTCAATCAGTCAATTTCAACTTCTCGTGGGAAAAAAAAGATCTCACAAAATTGGAATTGATTGATTGAACTTTTTAGTCCCACCCAGTCTGCCGTTACCACCGCAGCCACGCCCAGCCAATGGGCCACACCCAGCCAATGGGCCACACCCACCCAGCAGTCAACGATGCATAAGTGGGTTTTGGGTTGCAGTTTGGGCACTCGGTCTCTAAAAGGTTCGCCATCACTGGAATAGTATTTAAATTAGAAATTTAGGATTTTGGCATTACAAGGAAAATTAAGGAAAAACATCTTTAAAATACTAAAGAAGAGTTGTTGAGGAATTATCAGTAGGAGAAAGCTATTTGCTCCAGAGGTTTACCATAGATATTAGTATATCCTGGATAATCCATCCTATGAAGCCTATGTTTTCTACATAAGCCTCCTGTTGTGAGAAAGCTATATGCTGTTCAGATATTGTTACAGACACAATTGCTTTACAAATCAGGACTGCTATATAAATGCTATACAAAGGCTTCAGTTCCTAACTGGAACTGCAGCTCTGATGGTGACTAAATTTGATAAGCTTGTTGCTAAGCAATATTTGCACTTATTGAATGACTCTGTTTGTACTTACTTGAAGCTCTCCTGGGCCATGTGCTTCATCATTATGAATCTAATCTTTGATGGTCTTGATTTTGTTCTATTAGAATTTACATCTTGCCTGGATACGTTGTTCTGACCAAACGTGGACCTCAACTTTTTAAAATTTTACTAAAATGTGAATTCATGACAACCATCTCAGCCCTGCCTTCCCAGATCCATTCATCATGTGACAAAGATGATGAAGTGGACCATAACTGTAGAAACCAGGAGACTATGAATTTTGGTCCTCCCTATGAGTTTTGGTCCTCCCTTAGTTTTGGTCCTCCTATGGGCCAGTCACTCTTTCTTGATCCTAGGAAGAAGAGGGTAATGACAAAACACTTCTGGAAATGTTGACAAGAAAACTGCAGGGACTTGTCCAGGCACTTGCCACAAGTCAATAATGAGTCAAAGACGTGAAAAAAATTACTAGTAGTACAGTTCTATTATGGCAGCACATATATTTCTGTATCCATCACAAATTAAGGCCTATCTAAGTATCAACAATCACAGAGTCAACTTACACAAAAAAAGAGATTACTACATGACCCAAATAGGAACAAAATAGTGTACCTGGAGAGTTGGGATTTGAAAGTTTAATCCGCGGACGGGGGAGGGGAGATGTAAATTATACAAATAGCTCTTTTATTATTTATGGGGGTTAAGGTCCAGTGATAACACTGATAACAAAACCACTGTTATCAAGACAAGAAAAAATATATTTTGAGCATAAGGAAAAACCTGTCACCATTTTGCACAAGCGTATAAAAACAAAAATCTAATTCCAAAATTGCAGAACCATTAAAATCTTTCTTTTGGAATCTGAAGTAAAGTATCTTTTTAGCAACAGAGGACACCTACACATAGAACCATGGATAACAAGGACCCCTAGTATCTTTAATGTATAGCAGGGACTGCATAAAAGAATACTGTTTCTCTCATAAATTTTGAAACTTCCATGCCAACAGTTGCATGAGACATACTTTTCGCTGTGTCCAGCCACATCAACATCTGTTATCCTTGCATGACAGGATCCAGGCACCATTGGCTGAACAGGTTGACTAAGTAGCAGTCTAGACACCAGAAATTAAATAACATATTTAATGCCAAAACAAATAAATTGAAAGGAGGAAGGGAGGGAGGGAGGAAGGAACGAAGGAAGGAACGAAGGAAGGAACGAAGGAAGGATTTGATGTTAGAAGGTCAGAAAGTTAATATCTGAACATTATGCAGTTGTGTGTAACAGAGCACTGTGAATCATTCTATTACAGAGAGTCCTCAAAATGGGATCACATGATTGCAGGGGGATGCAACTGTCAGAACTTCGAAACTGGGTCATAAATACTGTAGCTCTAGGTAAGTCTATCATAACTTTGAACAGTCGCTAAGCAACTGTTGTTAAGTGAAGACTCTGTACAGTCATGCAAATGACATGAAGCAGCTCTCTTAGATCATTAAAGCTGTGACTTTTGCAAGGATCATAAAGTTGCTTAGAAAGCTGATGCTAATACTCTGTCTCTGTATATGTGTGTGTATATGTTTGTATGCACATTTGCTATTGTGCATTATCAAGCTACTTGTTTTGCGTATTGTGAAGCAACTAAAATACAATTCATGTTATATTTTAGGCAGATTTTTTTTCTATTTCATACATACGGTAGTTTTTTCTTTTTTAAAAAATTGCATCTCTATATGTACCCACTAATAATTTATTAGTGGGTACTCTAAAATGAGTTTAAAGGAATGTAAAATAAGGTATTTTCCCTATTAAAAAAATTAGATGGATTGCTAATGTCAACTTATAGATCAAAAATTAAAAAATATATTTCTGAGTTTATTCTCTTTGTATATTTTTCAATATATTAAATTTCCTGATATAACTTTGGTACATGTCACCAGAAAAACTATATAGAATGTATAAAGTTTTTTTAAAAAATTATGCTGGAAGTGTAATAAAAAAGAAGAGACATTTTACATGCTTGTAAAAAGCCAGAAACTTTTGGACTCAATTACATATAATAATTCAGAAGATTTTAAAAATTCACATCTTTTGTCTTTGCTCTTTTCTTCTCTTTCTTCTTTCTTTTTTTCATTCTAAATATTAGTTCTATTTAGTTTTTATTGTTTGTATTTAAAAAATATCTTCCTGATGAAAGAATATACCTTTCTACATATTTATGATTTTTATTTGTAGCATTACTCTTTTAAAATTTATACCTTTTCTATGCTCTGCATAACATTGCTTACATTGCTTACATGAAAATAGCAGGATAGATTATGCATATATATCTATATGTCTGTTACAATAATAATTTAAACCTCTGATAAAATTTGTTACTATACTACCGCAAATAAAGATGGAAAAACAAAACAAACCACAAGCTTATTCTTTTACCTTAGTTGTCGATCATGGCCCAAATCTGTAAGGCTTTGCTGGAGGCTGCTATCCTGTGAAATAGCAGGAGATGGTGCTATAGCCAAAGATGGTGAGAGCACAGAAGTATTGCTCAAGGGTGAGGTTAAATTGCCAGAAGAATGACAACCATCTTGAATCTCTTCCAAGATTCTCACAGATTTCTTATCCTAGAACAGTTTAAAGTAATAATAAGGTGTAGTGGGTCTGCCGAAAACCTTTGTTATTTTGAGGAGTTCAGTGACATATTTTGATTTCTCCTTCATATTGAGGAAAGCCTAAAATATTATAGGAACGGCATATTCAAGATAGGATGAAATATATATGCTTTATTAGAAATTTATCAATAAATGTTTCTTCCCTGAAATTATAAATAATATATATAAACTGTGTGTATATATGCATGTGTATATATGTATGTCTGTGTGTTTGTGTATATGCCCATCCATCAAATAATTTCATGGTAAGTAGTGTATACTGTATATTTTCAATTCAGTAATTGCAACTTGCTGGATAAAATAATTTGTTTAAATAATATATATATATTGGTGTGTTCTGCTAACCTGTATATTGGAATCTTGTACCATGCACAGCTGTTCTTGGATTTTCTGCAACTCTTCTTGCTGCCACTGAATGTTAGCTTGCAGTATACGGGTCCGCTGCTCAAGTTGGTTCTTGATGGTTTGAAACATAGTAAATTGGGAAGAGAGCTTAAACAAGAAATAAAGATTTCTGAGTCTCTCTTTACTAAGTTTGGTCAATATCATGAAAGAGAATGGTCCCATACATGGACAGGACAAGCAGGGCAGAGCATTTTAGCTCTGGATGAACATCAGTGTTTCAATCTTGGCAGCTTTAAGATGAATGAACTTCAACTCCCAGAATTCCCCAACCTGAAGTCCATCTATTTTAGAACTGTCAGGGTTAAGAAAATTGGTCTACATTGAGACATTTCTGTTGCTAGCACCATTCAACTTGCTACTGCTGGCATGCAGAGTTGGGTCTGCTTTGGAGTGCTTTTTTTTGTAATTTGATAAATTGATGTTTGGTACAACATGTTGCAATGCTACTAATATTCTGTATTTTTGACTGCTAGACACATTTATGTTAACATATAGGGGCTTCCCATGTACAAGTAGTCCTCAAAGTACAACAACAATTGAGCTCAAAATTTCTGTTGCTAAGTGAGACATTTGTTAAGTGAATTTTGTCCCATTTTATAACCTTTCTTGCCACAATTGTTAAGTGGATCACTGCAGTTGTTAAGTTAGTGACATGGTTGTTAAGTGAATCTGGCTTCCCCATTGACTTTGCTTGTCAGAAAGTCATAAAAGGTGATCACATGACTGCAACCATAAAAAATCTGAATCAATTGCCAAGCATCTGAATTCTGATCACGTGACCAAGGGGACGCTGCAACAGTCATAAGTATGAAAAACAGTCATAAGTCACTTTTGTCAGTGCCATTGTAACTTTGAATGGTCACTAAATGAACTGTTATAAGTTGAGGACTACGACTATTAGAGCCCTCAAGCTGCCTTTCACATAACACTTATAGCGATTTCAGTTTGATACTTCTGGGGTAACTGTCTTAGATAAGTCATATGCACAGTACAGATAATAGCTTTGCACAGCGAACATTCAGATTTATTTACAGTGATGAAAAAGTAGCTTTGTGACAAATCCTTGCATTTACAGCCACTGCAGGTCTGTAAAACAAAGGAAAGCTAAAAATCACAAGCATAGTCACAATTTCACTTGATGACCATTTTGTTTAAGACCAAATTTCTTGTTGAAATTGTAGTCACTAAATGAGGATTACCTGTATCAGGGAAGCAATATAGTTTAATAAATAGGCTTTACTCATAATTCACTAATCTTTCTCTTTTATAATAAAATGCAGACATTTTCAATACAGCTTGGCTTCTTAAGATATTTTCCCTTGAAATTCAGGTAGTGCTCAACTTACAACCATTTCTTTAGTTGCAGGATTTGGGTCAATCACCAGGACCAGAAGTTTTGTCTTCTGAGCTTTCGGACTTGTGCTGAAGCCCATCTTGAGGAAACTTTTCGAAAGCTCGGAAGACAAAACTTCTGGTCCCAGTGAATGACCCAGATTGGATCCTGCAACATTATCCTTGGACACGTATATTCGCCTTCATTCATTTGTTTAGTGACTGCTTGAAGTACAATGGCACTGAAAAGAGTGATTTACAACTGGTCCTCACGCTTACATCAACTGCAGCATGCCTACGGTGATGTGATCAAAATCCAGGCACTTGGCAACTAGAATGTATTTACAACAGTTGCAGGGTTCCAGGATCATGTGATTGACATTTGTGACTTTCCCAACCAGCTTCTGACAAACAAAGTCAATGGGGGAAGCTGGATTCACTTAATGACCACGTTTGATTTAATGCCTGCAGCAATTTGCTTAACAACTGTGACAAAAAATGGAGTGCGACTCACTTAACTGCCTTGCTTAGCAATGGAAATTCTGGTCTTGATTGTGGTCATAAATTGAGGATTATCTGTATCTTGTTATATAATATATTTATTTATTTTTATCCCACCTTTATTATTTATTATTAAATGTCTTAACTGAAGATACATTTCAGCTTTTGAATGATATTCTCAGATAGGGGAACCTTTCTTCTTTGAAAAACAATATTTAATACTGAAATATGGACAAGTAAGCTTTGTTCCTTTTTCTTGAAAGTAGAACTAGGTCCTGTGTTCCTTTTAGAACTTGGGTCAGCCAACTAAATTACCTTCCCACCTCTCATAAAATAAAATTATTTATAAAAAGTAATACAATTTGGACTTCATTATACATTAAGAATTAAAAAGAGCCTACATGCTTTTATTATTGTTACTGCATTTATAAAAAAATGTAATTGTTCACTTTATGTTCCATTACATGATGCCAACAGTAGCAGCAGAGATCTTGATGTCCAGATGCTTTCTATTCTTCTAGCACTGGGGAAACCAATGGAAAAGAAAACTCCTAGGGGTAGCAAAATGAGCTGGTTTACAGGGCAGGGCAAGCTCAGAGAATTACTTCTTGTCAGTGTGAATAAAACTGTTGTTACATAATCTTGCAAATTCAATTAAAAATAAAAATTTCACATAAACTTTATGCTTCCTCCTTGTTTGGAGCAGATTTGTCTTCATATGTAAACTCTAAAATATATCTTAAAATGTCAACAGAAATATATACATTTATTAAGTCTTACTTGAGCTGTAGCAGGTAGTTTAGACCTCTCTTTTGGTAAGTTCTGCTGTATGATGGGTGATCTTTGCAATGAGGAAGACTCTGGGATGGGCTTTGTTATTGTGGCTGTAAGATATATTCATAGTAAAAATCATTACTAAACTATATTTAATCTTTTTACACACACCTACATCCCTACATAGCCAGCTATACAACAAATAGACCAGATTACTCAAACAATCTGATTGAGTCAAAGACATGCCTAACTCCAATCTCCTATCCTTGATTCCCCCACCCTGCATTTTGTATATATATATATATATATATCTTGTGCAGCAAATGCATTACTGAAGTTATCACAGGATGATCCATGCCATTTGCTTTTAAAAATATATTTATGATTTAATGCTGAACTGAGAATAAGGATGTACTTGATTTCTTCTTGTTCACTGTTGGGTGAGAAGACTCACATATTCACAACCAAACTGAACATAATTGAACATGTGCCATGATGGCACAGTGGTTTGAATACAGTATTGCAAGCTAACTCTGCTCACAACCAGGAGTTCAATCCTGACCAGTTCAAGTTGACTCAACCTTCCATCCTTCTGAGGTCGATAAAATGAGAACCCAGATTGTTCGGGTCAATATGCTGACATTTGTAAACCACTCAAGGAGTGGTATATAAGTCTAAGTGTTATTGCTATTGCTATAACTTCATTCATTCATTCAATTTCTATAGCTGTGCAAATCAACCAAGTGACTTTGGATAACTTACATGGCCAATATTCATTATTTATTTATTTATAAATTTATTATTTATTAGATTTATTTGCCATCCATCTCACCTCAAGGCCTGAATTTAACAGATAGGGCCACTTTTAAAATCTTTGTGCATGTTCGCATACCTATTACTTTAATGGTCTGGCAACTTACATGGCCTTTTTAAAATAATACTGTGACCATAATAAATATGAGTCAGTTGCTAAGCATCTGAATTTTGGTCACATGATCATGAAGATGTTGTAATGGTCAGAAGTGTGAAAAACAACAATAAGTCACTTTTTTCAGTGCCATTGTAACTTTGAAGGTCACTAAGTGAACTGTTGTAAGTCAAGGACTACTTGTAATATCACAGGTAGGGATTGGGTATTTATTATCATCTTTTCATAGAATGGAATGGAATGGAATGGAATGGAACAGAACGGAACGGAACGGAACAGAACAGAATAGAATATCTTCTCATGTGTTTGGAGTCTTTTCATTTAGTGCCTCGGAGTTCTGATTTATTTGGTTCCATCAGTCGAAACCTTGACATAAGCTTTCTTTTGGAGGAGGTTCGGCGTAAGATAACATTATTTATAAAATGTTATAAAATAATTTATAAAATTATTACAATGGAATAAAATATCCTCTCATGTGTCTGGGGTTTTTTTCATTTAGCTTTCTTTTGGAGGGGGTTCGAGATATGATAAAATTATTTTTTAAAAACTAGTGTAAACTTTTGTAATAATGTTCAACTTAAAATATTTGAACCAAATGTTTCACGTGGTATGACTATTCATTTTTCTACCAATATGCTATCATAGCTTTATAATGAAAATAGGTCAGCATTTATTGAAGTAACATTCTAAGGGATACTGTTCATCCAAACATTTCAATCTGCACTGTTGACTTGGTTCAAATCTCACTTCAACCATGCACTCACTAGGTAAATTTACTAGATGGCTTTATGGAAACAGTGTAGCTGGATATAGGCAGTACACAGGCAATCTAATCATAAGGACCAAGTGACACTATGATGATCAGTGATAGTCAATGATATATAAAATAATAATAAAAGAAAATCTCCAGATAACCAACTGCAATAATATCTTTGCAGATATTTTCCAACTTATATTGTTCACAGTGCTCTATGAACGTAAGAGAAGAGCACCAACAACAATCTTATTCACTGCTATGAAAGAAAATATTAAATATTCAACTCAATTTCTAATTTATTTGCCTCTTTTGGAACAAACCAGGAAACTGATAACTGGGAACGTATAACTGGAGAATATTATGTGACAGTTCATTAATATTTATATCAAGTAGCAGCCTGATCTCTGCATGTATTCTGAGCCCTGTTTGATGGGCATGTGAATCCTCAGATCTGGAATTTTAATTCTTGCATTCTTTTAATTTTCTTGTGAAAGTATATACTCCCTTCTATTCTTGCTATCTTTATGATAGTAAAATTATATTAGTTTAATCTTTCAAATTATAATATTTATAATTTTTCCTACACTGGGTCAAATAATACATTTCAGTTCTTCACTCCAAATTAGTATTTTGAGAAAAACCATAACTTACTTGCCGTTTCAGGCAAGGATGAAGGCAAAGATTTGTGTAAACCATGAGAAGACATAGAAAATATCTGGCTGGTGTTGAGAACCGCTGTGTCTAATTCAATTGATTTAAAATGCTGCTGAGGATTCAAATCCGGGACATTGTCCTTGAAAATAAAGCAAAAATATTTATTATGCTAAGTACAAATGTAGACAGAAAAACCTTGAAAGAGTGTACAAGGGAAGAAAGTACTTTTGATGTTAGCCACACACTCTTTTGAACAACACTTGTCTGTAGCCTTTCAAAAGTGCATATGGAGTTCCAGATATCTCGTGAACACAAACAAGAGTGACCCAGAATCTATCCTCTCTTTACATTTCAAGCATTGCAACATGCTTCTTCAAAATGAAAAGATTCAACAGGCATGTTTCAAACTATAGATAGGACACTGCAAGTTACAGTAGTCAAACCTCAGGTGGTTGGCAAATCCAAGATGAAAGAACCACATGAATTTCAGAAAAGCATTTTTATCACTTTTCAGGAATAAAAATACCATTTTGAAAACTGTAAATTTCAGTTAAGGCAGGGTCTCTTTGATTTAAAGCATTTCCTGCCAAATCTTGGTTAGGGTTAGAGTTAGGATCTTGTCACACTCACTAACCTTTTTCTCCACTTCCTTCCCACTGTCTTCCACATCAGTACCCCCACCTGTACATTAACTAAATTATGTGGTATTCTGGGCTACTGTCAAAACATAACTTCATTTATCACTCTGCTTTTTCTCTAATGTAATACAAGAAAGGAAATGAATCCCTGCGGATTTAACACTGCTAGTCATTGTCAAGTATAGGGAGCAGCACTCATTTTCATTTGGAGGTCATGAGCCAGTGCCGTCAGAAGATGTTTCCACAGTCATGTGGCCAGCATGACATTGCAGAGTGCTGTTTCTTCTCCATCAAAGTGATACCTATTTATCTACTCACATTTGCGTGCTTTCAGATGGCTAGGTGGGCAAGAGCTAGGCGAAAACGGGCGCTCACCCCATCATGCAAACTCTTTCCAGCCAACCAGCTGAGTATCTTAATTGCTGAGCCATCGCACTACTCAATATAATACAATATAATACAAAAACTACCTGAAATTTGAGAGTTAAAATCAAAAACATTTGGGCCAAAACATTCGAGAAAAATGTTGTCTCTGTGTGTGTATGTGTATGAGCATAAATTCATATTAATTCAATCCAAATGTTTTATAACTGCTGATGCAAAAAAATGGAAATATTAAATGTAGGCATTCTGTTATACCTTTAATACTGAAGAGATGATATCTATAGGTGCATCTTCTAAAATCAGATTTTGTTGCCTTTCCACTCGAACATCTGCATAACTGATTGAACATTATAATTTTCCATGGAGAATTATATTCGTTCTATCATCTTCAAGCTCTAATACATGTAATTAATTATTTATTACATGAAACCTGAATGTATTATTCAATTAAAACATGAAGTTTATCTAATTCAAACATGTATAATGGATTACATTTTATATCTATAATAAGTTTATCCCTATGCAAAAGAAAAAGAAAATAGTGTCTCTAATCATAGCATATATCTTCATAGGACTAGGTTTCAGACAAAGAACATCGATTTGGAGTCCCTTACTAGTTCTTTAGATCCGTAAGTACTAGTTTTGTAAGTGCATATAACTAATACATAAAATATGATGACATAGGTTGCTTTCTGCTATCACTGGCCATATTTCTACAGTATACTGCTGCAAAATGTATTATATAACCTACCAAGTTACTCTACTTTCCAAACAGGCAGTGTTTGGATTTAACTTTGATATTTTCTTTGGAATCTAATTAACAAATCACTATCATCAGTTCATAATAAACATTAGAATTCCTGTTTTTATACCCTATTTTGAGCCAACCCAGGTGTTATTTCCAATGTCACACCACACTCAATGCAATCATCAAGATTATCTTAATCTAGCTATCTTCCCAGGACACTGAAAAAACACAATTTATTACATTCCTAATCATCATTTCTCTGCCTACTCTCAGAACCTTTTAAAATATTTCATAGATTTAAGAAGTAGTCATTATACTACTTTTAACTCTTTCATTACAACCACTATCATAGATCAAGTATCTTATTAAATACAATTTATTTTAAAATTGTTAAATAAAGTAACATAAAATATTATGATGAATAACTTATTAAAGTTAATTATTAAGTTTATTTACAATTCCTGAAAACTCAAAATATTGACTGCAGTTTTCCATATCATCTAGAGAGAGTCAGCCATTGTATATTGAGTACCCTTAAGCTAGATCTTCACATTCTTCTGGTACATCAAGGTCTCTCCTGATAGCATGTTAATTGATTTTCCATACCTCACTACTGTATGAGTGCACACAATGAATTCTGGTTTGGAGTTCCACTGATGGTAGGTGATATAGTAATGCGTTTGTAGCCAGATCCATTGCTGTCCTTTGGTCAAAAATCGATAGCAGCAAGATTTCCCTTTGCCAAATTGCATCACTATTTGTGGATAGAAAAAAAATTGCAAAAATATTACAAATCAGTCAGTTAAAAAGTATTTTGGGATATTTATAAATTTCCCAGCACTCTCAAATTTCCCTAAGGATACAAGAATTCTGTTGCTAAACATGAAATAATGCACAATACATTAAAGTACATAAATTCATTTGATTACATGCAATTAATAACCATGTGCCATGGAAAATATTATATGGATTATCAAGCTGAAAAGGAACATTTTAAGTATGATGTGCTTATGCATTTCTATCTCCAGCACACGTCCCTATGGAATAAAAATCCTACATAATCAGTGGTAGTATTCAACCAATTCGCACCACTTCGGCAGAACCGGTAGCTAATTTTTTGTTGCCCAGGCCCAGAATGGACTTCTGGAAGCGGCATCCACACAGTGAACCAGTTGTTCACATACAGTATATGAATCCCACCATTGTACATAACGTATACTATAATTAAATTGCATTATTAGTGTGCAAAACTTGCAAACAATTTGTTCAATTGTACTCGTTGAGGGTAGCTGAGTTTTATTACTATATTATAATTTTATTATTTGTTATTATTGTACTATTTTTTATATTTCCTTTTGATTTGAGAATGTAAGTAAAATTTGATATTGTGGCAATAGTAAAAGAAAAACTGCTTGCATACTAATGTCTATGATTTATTAAATGAGAAGGAATTGGACCCTGAGTTTCCTTTCTAAAACAGGAGAATGAAAGACAAATCTGATCTGTCAAATTAAAAGGTTTTAAACTGAATTTTGCACAGATAAATAGTAGAGACCAATTGGCTTAACCTTGACTTGCAGATTTAAGATTAATATTACATGGAATGGGCCATGTTCACTTTTATAAAGTTTCAAATTAGCTTTTCCACATTTGAGTTTTTGTTAATTAATAATTGCTGAGTGCAGGTCTTCCGGTTTTGCATTGCAGCGAGGCGGGACGCAGTAAGGCAGAGTTCTGCCTTCCGTGCCCGATTTCGCCCTGCTGGGGGCCCTGAAAAGGCCCTAAAGTCGCCCCAAAGAGGCGATGAAGGAGGGGTGCCTTGTTGATCACCGGCCACATCTCTGGGGCTGGCCATTAACTGCTGACAAACTGAAAAACAAAAGCTTTAATTAGCACATTGTAAACAGCATGTTTGGACTGGGTGAGAATATTGATCCTTTCTTTACTATTTTACACTTGAATTTCCTGGGAAAGGCTCCCAAGAAGCTTAAAACCTCCAGATGTGAACAGAAGCAGTGTTTTGTTTTTTTTAATGGGAGACAGAAATACATAATACTGAAGTGAAAGTAATACAAAGCTACAGTTTTGATAAACCTGAGAACTGAGATAATTGTTAGGATTTTCTCTTTGGAAAAAAAACTATTGAGGTGAAATATAAGAAATATAAGAAATCAATCCTTTGTTTTGAAAGTGGAAATTGGACTTTGAATGACATCTAGTGGTGGATTTGAATACAGCACTATAACTAGCTCCTTGGTTGCTTGGTGATTTTCAGTTGAAGGGAGAACAGCTGGCAATAAAGGAAAATATTTTGGCATATTTATCATCCTGACCTTCATGGACTATAAATACCTACTGAGCTTGGACTTTTAATCTCAAGAGCTAGTGGGAGAGAAATAAAAAATGACTTTTGAATAAGTCTGACTGCAGGGAGGTTGAACATTTTGAACACTGGGAACATTGTGGATTACAATCTTGCCTGACTGATAATTTTCAGGATACTTGAGACAAAGGATTACTATAAAATATTGCCATTGGGACTGGATTATAAAGGCTATATATAAAGACCAGAAAATTAGAGGAAATTTTGTTCCACTGTTACTAAGACTAATGATACTAGAGGATTTCTAGGAATTTCAAGAAAAAATAAATACCTTCAGAAGGAAATACTCTCTATGCTATAGCAAATTCATCAAACAATTCTTGCAAACAAAGAGGGCATAAAAAGAAACCATAATGAGACTAAAAATAACCTAGATGATATAAAGGACCAAATCTCCAAATTGAAGCTATAACTGAAAAACTCCCAGACAACGACTACAAAGTATGAACAAATAAACCAGAAATCAGAGGGTGAAGCAGAAGAAATGGATCTAGAGATGGAGGACATAGAAGAAGGGAAATATGGGCTGCTATACACAAATAAAATACTCAAGACCTACCTATAACAATGAAAATACAAAAGACCCTTTACTCCTTTCTCCAAAATATACCTGATGACAAGGAAGGAGATTCTAGAAAATGGAACATAGAGTGGGCAGGAGAAATGTCTAGGGAATGTGGATGGGCGGAGTTCCTCCCCAAAAATACTCTACCTAAATTGTCTTTCTCATGCCAAGCAGCTTTCACAAAAACAGAAAGAAAATTCTTGGACGATTTAATTGCCTTGGCCTGGAAAGTTGCTTGGCAAAGAAAGAAAGTGAGAGTTAGACTTAAAAAACAGAGGATTTGATCTATCAGAGGGGGCATTATTTGTTTAATATACCTGTTTGAATATGATTAAAAGAACGGATGACTCTTAGATATAACTAGATTTTTATAATGGAAGATATGATTTAGAATTAAAATAGCATTTTTTTTAATATGGGAAATTTGAAAATAGGAGAATTGGTATGAATAAACTTGTTTAGCTATATAAATGTAATTAATATTGAGAAAATCATAACTGACAAAGATAATTTAAATATTGATGGGAAATCAAAGTTTAATAAGAGCATGAAAAACAGGATATTGACATGAATTGATATTATTGTTATTTCTATAATATTAGCAAAATATGATGAAGATGTCTATATCTAATTTTGTATATATCAGTAGTACTGAGAATTGTAATTATTTAATGAGGGGAAAAGGAAAAAAATATGAGGAAGAAAGGAAGATCAAGGAAAAAATATTGGATTGTGCAGTACTGAATAGATTCATATTGAAGAAGTTAATGTTAAATATGTGAACCAAGACAACATGTTGTTTACTAAACTCTAAAGATTGTAATTTTAAAAAATTAATAACACCTATAAAAATAATAATTGCTGAATGCTATATCTGTACTATTTTACGCCTATCACTTCTGAAATTTAATAAAAGAAACGAAGAATAAAGTGCAGCCAAAATTCACTCACATTATTTCAATCACTTATCATAACTAGTTTTTCAACAATACCTCCTAAATTCTAAATTACAGATATTTAATATCTGCATAATTTTGAATAGATTACAGGTTTACAATGTTATCAGCCAGCCACCTGGTTTACACTTTTCATACAATACAGACAAGGCAGCAGCTGTCTCATTGGATTCTCATGTCCATAGGAAAGCAATACTCACAGTGTTCATGGCATTGTGCCAAGAGCTGTAGGTCATCTATATGATAGTAATCATAGCCAGAAGTTCCCAGCACTTCAAAAGGCAAATATCCTATAATTGGTGGGGCTCTATATTAAGATAAATAATTTTGTTTGAGTATTACAAATATCAAGAACAGCATTTGAGTTCTGTGGTGCAACAGAGAAAATTCCAACATACAGAAGCACAACTAACACAAAGGGACAGGTGTGTTACTGTTATATACTACCAGAAGACAGGAGGAATATATACAAATACCTTGCACAAATCTTACCAAATCATTTTTAAGTATTGGAATATGGAAAAAAGCAGAGGAATTAAAAGCAAAAGCAGTGGAAAAAAGTTAATTAATTGGTGACTGGGAGCAATACAAACTACAAGACTGGTCTCAAACAAAAAAGACCAAATTCCAGGTTGAATTTAAAAAAGAAAAATATAATGATAAAAAAATAATGTAAATAATTTTAGGCAACACTGCTGCAATAGATTGGGGAAAGTACTGCTAGAACCTGGTAGCCATGTCTTACAGTCTTTTAAAGGAAGATCCCTTCTAATTAAGGATAATGGAAAAATATCATATATCCTGTCTATATAATTTGATATCACAAATTCTAAGATGAGATGTGTGATAGATTTTTTTGGTTGTGGTTGTTGATTTAACAACCAACATTAAGAGTGTAGGTAACAATCTCATATAGAATTTTTAGAGTACCACGTTCTAAAGCAAAGGTCCCCAACCTTTTGGTCACCAGGGACCGGTTCCTTGGAGAAAGGTTTTCCCAAGGACCGGACAGTGCGTGGTTTTGTGTGCTGCCTGCATCCCACAGATGGGGCTTTGCTTGTTTGTGCATATTGGTTGCTGGCATGCCGCGGCCCAGTACCGGTCCATGGACCAGGGGTTAGGGACCTCTGTTCTAAAGGCAGACATAACACATTAGAAACAGGATACATATATAGTAATAATGGTTCTATTATTAAGACTATGCAGTATTTATCTAGCTGGGTCAAAACTGAAAGTTATAGTTAATCAAAGTTAAAGTGGGAGCTGATTTTTTATAATCTTTGCAACCTTCCTCTTGCAAATCTTTTCCATCATTTTCTGACTACCCAGTTGGCAACCTTGTAAATGTTCAAAATATACTGTATAAAAGAATAAAATTCTGGAGGGTGCCCAAATTTAAAGAGCAGCTTTTGAAAGATAGGCTATATATGTGAGTAAGCTTAAGTGGCAAATATTTGGTCCTTTGTTTCCTAAGGCACCTGTGGTCCCTTTTTTGGTCCCAGAATTGGATAACCAAATTTTATCAGTCAGTTTACTGATAATTTGGTATTTGGATTATGTTTTATTTTTAAAAACACAATTATATTTTAAAGTGGCTTTAAGTTATCTAGACTTAAAACTGCCCTGCAAATCCACCCTACCAAAATAAGAGAACGGAAAGGGAATAAGGAACATTTCAGCTTCGTCCCTTTTTTTAAGCGCACTTTCTGAATTTAAATGTCACAAAGGTACTTTTTTAAGAGGCCACTGGGCTTTCTTGTTTTTCTTTGAAGATTTTTTGCTTCTCATCCAAGAAGCTTCTATTGAAGAGCTGAAGAAGCTTCTTGGATGAGAAGCAAAACATCTTCAAAGAAAAACAAGAAAGTCCACTTGCCTCTTGAAAAAGCACCTTTGGTACAACCATGACCTGGATGAGTGAGAATCTCCATAGACATTCTGAATTTAAAGAAATTACCTATCTCTACTTCACAGAAAAAACATTGTTGGCTATATCCACTATGTACACTGAAGAAACACTGAATATCTACAGTATGAGTTTATTTTAAAATTCTAACAAAGGAAGGGTGAGGGATGAATAAAATATCTAACATTTACTTTATCTGATGCAACAGCCCCATAATTACATTACCTTGGAAAATTCAATTCAATGGGATTTCTTTGTTTATTTAAGAAAATATGCCCTTATGAATACAGCATTATATTGTTTTTAAAATTTTCTTGATTCTAGTTTTTGCATGAACTTTAGGAATACTGTATATATCTATATACTGCATATTCTCTACCTAAAAGTCCAATGCAACTACATCGGTTTATTTTTTATTTTCTTATAATATATATATTCTATTTTATACCAACACATACAAATAGCTCATACAATATACATTATATACTTCCAAAACTTATAAAAATTAATTGTTGACTAACAAATGTTTGGTTTAGTGATAATTTTAATAATGTATGCCATTACACAATTATTTATAATTATTTACAGAACAAACAAAGCACTATTTTATAAAACTTAATTTATGTCAACAACAATAATCAGAGGGCGGGCATTGTTTTTACTAACCTGTGATCCAGAAATAAAAATTTCCATTCCAAACTGTGTCTTGAAGTGAATTCCTCTAAAGATTCTTCAACTATGCACATTTCCTATATTAGAATTAAATTATGTTAAGTTGCAGTAGTGCCTTCCCCCCCCCCCATTTCATCCATTCCTTAAAGCACATGAAAGAATGAAAATAAAAGGCTAAAAAACAACAACTATATATTAAAAAAATTCTAATTACTCTATCTGGTTTATTAGTTTTAATTGATGAAAAATATATGTGTTTTGGGAGATTATTATGATACTTTATTATTTTAGAAAAGAAGACTAAGTGTTATGGGTCATTGTTATATGTTAGATATTGCTGGCAATAAAGACTCAAGAAGACGCAAGAGAGGAACAAAAGAACAAGAAATTGTGAAGTGGAAGGTATTCTAGGTTTGCATGTTGTTTACAGCATGTCAGATATGCTTAACTGAAGCACTTACATCCCAACAAGCTAACAGACACTGTAGAAGATAAATGCTGCTGCAATCCCTTTTCCTTTATGTTATACAATTTAACTCAGCTAAAATTAAAAGAGTTGATTGAATGCATGAAAAAAGTCTTACTATACATTATGATCAAATAAGGATTATTCTCCAATAGGAGTCTTATCCCTTAATAATTAGATCCTGTGCTTCAGCCTAAATAATGTAAAACATTAAAAAAAACTAAAACATTTTTTTGCAGACTTAATCATAGTCAAAACTAATTTCTGATTTTGCCTATACATGCAAAAAATATTGGACAAAAGACGTAATTGATTAATGTGACATATATAAGAAGAAACCAATCTCCAAGATAAAAATCCAATGTTCACAATTTGATTGGGAATGTTATCTGCAGTTAATAACTTGATTTATTTTTAATACTTTCCATATTTATACTTATTTCCATTCAGGAGCATATATATCAGCCTTCCTGGTTTGGTTTTCTGTAGGAAGGCTGGTACTACAACTTCCAGAATTCCTAGCCAATAACATTAATATAACTTTCAAAGTGTTGCCACATTTTTCAGGCTGCTTTAATGAAAGGAAGAAGTACTGAGCTCATTCTCAAATTCTCTGGGGTATTTCTTCTCAATCATTTCCAAGGCATGCACAATCCTAGACATCGGTAGGATCACTATTGTTGGTAAGATTCTAAGACAGACAAACTTGCCTTTAAAAACTGAGGGGTGGCCAGCCGAACAGTAGCAACAAAGCAGATTTGTTTTCCTTGTGGTGTTCTGTAATCCCTAGGAACAGCATCTTCAGAGCTGTGACAGTCAGACAGAGGCACTGGATAAGAAAATTAGAAGGCAAAGAGTTATGCCTTTTATGCACATGAAATTTACTAATATGGAAATCCCACAGCGTTATATCTGAATGTACTTTTCTGGCTGCATATATGTACATATAAATAAGTATAAGAAATCTAGACCATGTGGTAAGGTAGGAAATGCCCCATGTTTTCTAATGTGGACAGGAAAGGTGAAGTCCGGATGTGAAAATAAGTCAATTGAATCAGAATAGTACTGTAATTGGGAAGGGGCTAATTTGCTATTCCAAAACACTGTGAGATGGCTCTGTTTTGGTCATTTATAAAGTTTTTGTTTTATCTTGGAGGGGGGGTTGGTTGGGGGTTATCATTTGTTTCATATGTAATCCATAAAGTTCAACATTCACCAACTTACCAATGATAAAAGTTCTATTTCATCTTGCAACACACTTTAAGTTTTTGAGGACTAACTGGAATGTTTCAGGAGATATGTGATTCAAAAATGCCTTGCTTTTTAATATGTTCTCTAGGAAGGACATATTTATAGACTTCTATCATGATGAGTAATTAGTCATAAACAGGAAATCTATATTCTCATCAGTACATACTTGGACAGCAACCTCATCACGGTTCTTGTCCAAGATCTTTTGAAATGTCCAAGCTGAGCTTTTAAAATGAGTAAGCCACTCTCTTACCAATTTAAAATTAATAAACCACTATTTTACCAATTAATACCAATACAACTTAATTAGATAAAGATAACCATTTTTGTGTAAAGAATAAACAAAAATTAATAAAAATGTCAATAAATAAATAAAGTGGAGGAAAAGCTAGGAAACCATCCTGCTGGTGCCAATTATGTTGATAATTCTAACATCTTAAAGATAAAATTTCTCTCAAGCCGAACTTGATTTCTGATATTCAGTATACTGATATGTATATAATTTTTTCTCAGTACAGAAAGGTTTGCCTTATTCTGGGATGTTTCTTTAACTTCCCAATCTTGCCTACAGCCCTGATATTTCTTAATGAGTCCTAGTATTGACCACTTCTATCAAACTTGGCTATTTGGAATCAGGTAGGTGCTGCCAATACTATACCTTTGGAGCATTTTTAATAAAAAAAAATAATGAATGGAAGATAAACAATAATTACCATGAAGACAATTTAACAAGAAGTATTATATTTGCAGTCCTCTTACTTGGGGTTTTCCAATTACTGTATGTTTATTGGGCAATATATCATTGATATAAACAAAGGAGAAAGGATGTAGCATGGAGAAATTTACTTTTCTCATAAAATGGGAAAAGATAAATATTTCTTATAGAGAGTTAGCTAGTAATTTTAAAATGGTTAACTGTGCATTCTAGATCAGAATTTTTACTGAGCTGCTAATTAAATTGTACAAATATGACAGATTCAAAAACTGAACACAGCAAAAGTGTTCCCCCAAACAAGATGAATTAATGTGTTATTCAGAGGAGTTGCTCATTTTTCCTGCATTTAAAATATTATGGCTAAAAGAATGCTAGATGTCTGAAGCAGATGAAAGAAACATGTCCTGGAGGAACAAGATATGGACAGTATGTAGAAAACACTCTTTGATTAAAAAAAATCATGTGGCCAATGGACTATCTGTTTTGATCTGCAGTGTGAGTTCCAGTCATAACCATATGCATTTTGAATTAATTCCTATAAAGCTCAATATTTTTTTGCTTTCTAAGCAAAATGTTAGGAATTTCAATCTGAACTATGAAGTGCTAATTGCATTTTAGAAAATATTCTTTGTTGTGCCAGTAATGTTAATGCTGACCTCCAAAACATTTTAATCCAAGTGTTGAATGTCAGCAAGGCTTCTTTTTTAAATACCTTTTAAGTATTTTTAAACATTTTAAATAGTTCTTTTTAAAATTGTATTTCACCATGTAAATGTGGTCACAATTTCTTCCTATAAAACTGAAACGTTCTTACCATGATTGTAAGATAGAAAATTCCCTACAAATTTTATGTATTCATATGTTGGAAAATCCTTTGGGTTCAGACTTCCTCGTAGAAGATGGCAGTAAAATTCTAAATCCTCATTACCTGAAATTTAAATAAAATACTACAAGGCATTAGTAAAATAATTATTATTTGTTAATTACACAGTTTCTTGACAGTTATATAATTACACAAAAGGAAAATCCCCAGTGAATTCAGTGATGCACAAGATTCATATTTCAAAGTTTTAATGAAGCTTTGCATGAATCTAGGTTGTTCGGAACTATAAATAGATATTTCTCATGCATACTTAAATCACGGATTTAGATTAACATCCCATTATTCAGTACCATTCTATGAAATAAATCACAGACTTAAAGATAATGAAAAGCAATGGAATGTAAAAGGCATTTCCCTTTTCTTTACTATGTCTCATTTTCAAAAATAAAAAAGATAAATTTTAAAATCTATACTTCTTATTGTGAAACCTTTATCTATTTCCCATATAATCTTTTTCTTATAATATCATGTTTCAAAAATCATTTGTACTAAAGAAACATATATTTTGAGACTTTATGAACAGTCCTATTAAAGGAATTCAATATGTAATCATAAAATATTTTAGTCATATGAACATGTCTAATTTGTGATGACAATAAGAATTTTTCTTCACTAAGACTACAATTAATATATTTGAAATCAATTTCATGTTAAGATATAATAATAGTTTTAAACTGTACAGGTGAATGTTTCCTACAGATATCTTTAATTTGAAATTTTTAAATGGTACTTTTAAATGGCTAATCAACTCCTTCATTTATTGTCCTATTTAATTTTGCACTGATCACAATATCGTAAGCCAACTTAGAAAGTTATTTACAAACTTTTTTTAATCACTCACATTTTAGATAATCCGATGAAACAGTATCCATTAGAAGCATATGAGATGATAATATTTTATAAATATCTGAATGTTCTTGTTCCGGGAGGAATTTTAACAAATTTTGATCCATGACTTCAGACTGTAAAATGACAAAATTGTATTAAAACAAAGACAGAAAAATAGGCACCCCCATTCTTTGCAATCATTTTGAAAGTATTAAAATTTTAATTTTTACATTAAATCTGCTTGTATGCCTATTATTTTATCCTATGTACTGGCATAAGCAGTAACCAAACAGGAATAATTTGATTTCAGGATCAAGATGATTGTCTCCCTAAGTTTCAGGAGTGGTGAAACTGTTCTGAATCTGATTAATACTGACAGACTTCCAAGGCCATCTCTTATTCTTGAATGAACAATAAGAACATTTGCCTGTATCCAATCTTCTCACATCTCACCTGTTCTCCAAAAATCCTTAACAACTCCAGAAAGCTCCATTATCACTCTGGTATATAATTCATCTGTGCCTGGAAACTTGAAGTAGCATCTCCTTACTGATTCTGGGCTGTAAGTTCCTTCTTACTTTTACTTTTCTTGTGTAGAAAAGTAATGAGAGAAGGCACAGCCAAAAGAGAGATAATTGATATGTCTTATTTAACACATTGGCAAGTCTTTGTTTTTCACTGTGTTGAATCAAAGCCAAAAAAACTCTGTTTTTGTTAGGTTGCCTCAGGATTTTTCTGTCATTTTGGACTTTATCTTACCTGAGACAAGTTTAACAAGTCTGGGAACTCTACTGTATTTATCCTTGCCTTTTTTCATGTTATATTCTTTTAAGTCTTATCTCTCAATTTCCTGTATAATCATATAGGTTTTCCAGTTTCTCATCCACTTGGAATAGTCTGTGCCTTCATAATTCAATTGCCAGAATTTTTGATCTCAGCCTCTCTATCACATTTATTACTCCTAGTATAGAATGTTTAGTTTTTCCAAATCCTTGTATATACTCTCAACTCTCACATTCCTTTCTAACAACAGTTCCATAATGTTGCCTCTTTTCAAGGGCTTCCAAATTTGGGTTGCAAAATTCTACATAACCACAAAAGAACAGCAAAGAGATTTAATCAGAATTGTGGCATTCTGATGCAAGCGCCATCACTTTTTACATGAATCATGACACACACACATAAAAGGCAAATTCCTGCAGATGTCCAAGATTTTATCTACTAGTTTTTCTTAAGTTGGTCAAAGTAAAGTTCATGACGGCACTTAACAGTATTTATGGTTTTTTAAAGAGTCCCTTTAAGAGTGTTGGTGCAGGGTAAGTAAGATACATTTGAACCACTCACTGGCAAGTGTCCAAGAAGAGGTGTGATGCTATCAGAAACATACACGATGCTTCCATCAGTGGTGACTGCTATAACAAACCCATCCAGTGCCTATAGGGAAAAAAGTATATTAATTCTCTAAAAGGAGATAGGAAAATGATGCTTGTGTTGTCTATTGAGAAATGCAAACAAGTTGCAGAACACTCTGAACATAGCACAGAAGTTAGATATGTGAATTCCAGAGATTATGAAGAAGCAAAGGTTTTGGCCAGAGGTTTTGGAATGATCAAAAATACATGCAAACTATATGCAGCCTGTACACTTTAAGAATTTATATCCAAACCTGGATTATAAACTGCCTACACCTTCAAGCTAAAATGTGAGTGGTTTACAGAATTTATTTATTCCTACTTGCACCAAAAGATTTATATAACATATAGGAATCCTATAAATAGCCAATATAGTCAAGTAATATTGCACATTATGATTACATTGTGACAGTAATTCCCTTCCCAGTTGCTATCGTAACCCAAGGACTACATGTAGCTTATATTTTGTTTTCTGTTCTTGGCAATCATTTTCTATAATTACTTGGCATGCATAGATAATGGCTTTTTACTTATTTTTCTCTTACAAAAATCCACCATCAACTATAGTTACAAACTAAAATACCCAGTGTCAACGCTATAACAATGGATGTTCCCGCTCTGACAACTGAGGGAAATTCAGCCATTTTTACTCTGCTTTTAGCTTGCTTTTTCTGCTGTTTAGAAATCAGGTGTAGAAGGGGGGATGGGTGAATGCTTGAGCTCAGCTAGTGATAATAATAATGCAACTTCGTGGGAACTCAAGGACACAAATCGATAACATTTTGGCAGGCTGAGGAGTTGGAGAGGGAGCCCGTGCTTCAGGTTAATTGGAGAATGTGATTTATGACTGCTTCACGAGGGTGGGAATTGCAACTTGTTATTTTGTATCTGGGGGAAGGGAATTTAGTTTTGGGTTCAGCTATGTAGTACCGATACTTTGTTTCCTGAATAAAATGTTCTTTAAGGAATAATTCTTGCCTTGAAGTTCTTTAATGGCATAACACCCAGTTTATAGAATACCACCAGGTTTTTTCAATTAAATATTCTAAAACTGGAAATATTCCAGGCATGCTGATCAATTCACAAGCCACCAGTGATAAGTCTGGGAGCTGAAGTCAATATATCTTGAGGAGACAACTTCTTTAGAGGACCATTCATATTCAAAGTTTTGTAAAAATTGCAATTTTCACCTCCAACATCAGTTGAGTGAATTCTTCATTGCTGAGAAAAGAGGGCTTCCATTCCTGATGAACATCACAAAATTCTGTCTGCACTGAGAATTCTAAACAAATTAAAATATCTTATTATAAATCTACTAATGACTAGGTCACAGCATAACTGTTATAAGATTTTTTTAACAAGTTTATCTTGACTTCTATAAGGGAGCTACAAAGATAAGGATTTTGAGTTCAATTGCAGAATGAATAATTTGCAAAATATATCTTCCCCTTAAAATGGCCTTCAGTTTCCACAATATATAATTTTAACTTTTAACATACGAAGTCTCCTTTTTGCTTTACTTGCCCTTAAAGGAGGAACGAAAGTAATCTTTATTCTCTTTCATCAGCCTTTCAAACCTGAAGTTTATTATAGTGACAAAAACTTCCTTAAATTCAATTCTGGATGCTTATTAATACCTGCCACACAATGGGGTAATATTCTAGGACATTGCTTTGCATGCTCATTATTTGATTTTGATTATTTGATCTTGATCCTATTATAATTGTTGTGTACTGCATATCTTTATACACATTAAACATGTAACATAGGTTTTTGAAAAACATATGGAAAAGCTGTATCTTCCAAAGAACAATATGTGTGTGTGTGTTGGCTGGAGCACCCGGTCTACCAAGTATAGGATAAATCAGTCTGTTCTGAGTTTTGCTCCAATCTAGGAGCATGTTTTGCAGGCAGATGTAGGGTATGCAAGGCGGGTTGTATGACGTGTGTGAGTTCCAGCACTTTTTTTTTTTTTAGAAAAAAAGCACTGTATATATATACACACACACACACACTTACACACACATTAAAGAACTATATCCAAAAAACTATATGCAAAGCTATATCTTTCCAAAGAAAGTCCATACTTCCACTTACATATTATTTGTTTTTAAAACATATTGTCTCCTATTATTTGTGGAGGATCCCTGGAATGTAATTACTGTGGTAAATGTACAATAATTATAATTAATAATTCATATTTTGGCTTTATATCAAAGGCATGGATTTCTAAGATGATGACTACACACAGCATATTTTGCACCCATCAGATTCCTTGCACATCCTGATATTTTCATTAATTAAGTATAATTAGTTTAACTAACTGGTTGATTATTATATGGGACTATCAAACTTCCACTCCCATTGCCACTGTTATTTTCATTAATGTCTCTGGCCTTCACAAAGTGCCAAAGGTATTTTCAGAATCTTTTTAAAAATAGTGGAGAATTGCAGGCAAGGAAAAATAAAGATGTTGGCAAAGTACAGTATGGATGCATTTTGCCTGCTTTTTCCTTTGTGTGCAAATGCTAGTTGTTTTGTTTTGCTTATTTGACAAATAGTGGTATAAATTTTAAGTTTATGTTAAGGATCTACAATTAATATATATTGCTCAAAAACAAGCCAAATAAATAGAATCAGACTGTAGACAACTTTGTTCTAGACATATGTAAAACAGCATACGGTTATAGCTAAAAGTTTTTATTTTTATGCAAAGGTACACAACAGTAGAACCTTTCCAGTGTTTGTACTATGCTTAGTTATAAGCACATAATACATAAAATAACCAACTATTACTACTACAGTATGTGTGTTGAAATGGCATGCTGGTTACAAGTACAATGAGGAAAAAATGCTGATTTTGTACGTTGGCCCACTGACAAAGAAATGATCAGTCTATAATTTTAATGGTAGTTTATTTTAACAGCGAGAGACAGAATAACACCAAATCCAGAAAAACACATTTCAAAAAAGTTATAAATTGATTTGCATTTTAATGAGTGAAATAAGTATTTGATCCCTTCGCAAAACATGACTTAGTACTTGGTGGCAAAATCTTTGTTGACAATCACAGAGGTCAGACATTTCTTGTACACATCTCAGGAGGGATTTTGACCCATTCTCTTTGCAAATCCTTTCCAAGTCATTAAGATTTCAAGGCTGACATTTGGCAGCTCGAACCTTCAGCTCCGTCCACAGATTTTCTGTGGGATTAAGGTCTGGAGACTGGCTAGGCAACTCCAGGATCTTAATGTGCTTCTTCTTGAGCTACTCCTTTGTTGCCTTGGCCGTGAGTTTTAGGTCATTGTCATGCTGGAATATCCATCCACAACCCATTTTCAATGCCCTGGCTAAGGGAAGGAGGTTCTCACCCAAGATTTGACGGTACATGGCCCCATCCATCGTCCCTTTGATGTTGTCCTGTCCCCTTAGAAAAAAACCATCCCCAAATCATAATGTTTCCACCTCCATGTTTGATGGTGGAGATGGTGTTCTTGGGGTCATAGGCAGCATTCCTCCTCCTCCAAACACGGTGAGTTGAGTTGATGCCAAAGAGCTCGATTTTGGTGTCATCTGACCACAACACTTTCACCCAGTTCTCTGAATCATTCAGATGTTCATTGGCAAACTTCAGACGAGCCTGTACATGTGCTTTCCTAAGCAGGGGGACCATGCGAGTGCTGCAGGATTTCAGTCCTTCACGGCGTAGTGTGTTACCAATTGTTTTCTTGGTGACTATGGTCCCAGCTGCCTTGAGATCATTGACAAGATCCTCCCGTGTAGTTCTGGGCTGATTCCTCACCATTCTCATGATCATTGAAACTCCACGAGGTGAGATTTTGCATGGAGCTCCAGACCGAGGGAAATTGACAGTTATTTTGTGTTTCTTCCATTTGCAAATAATCACACCAACTGTGGTCACCTTCTCACCAAGCTGCTTGGCAATAGTCTTGTAGCCCATTCCAGCCTTGTGTAGGTCTACAATCTTGTCCCTGACATCCTTGGACAGCTCTTTGGTCTTGGCCATGGTGGAGAGTTTGGAATCTGATAGATTGATTGCTTCTATGGATAGATGTCTTTTATACTGGTAACAAGCTGAGATTAGGAGTACTCCCTTTAAGAGAGTGCTCCTAATCTCATCTTGTTACCTGTATAAAAGACACCTGGGAGCCAGAACTCTTGCTGATTGATAGGGGATCAAATACTTATTTCACTCATTAAAATGCAAATCAATTTATAACTTTTTTGAAGTGCATTTTTCTGGATTTTTGTGATGTTATTCTGTCTCTCACTGTTAAACATAAACCTACCATTAAAAGTATAAACTGATCTTTTCTTTGTCAGTGGGCAAATGTACAAAATCAGCAGGGGATCAAATAATTTTTTCTCTTACTGTACAAGTAATTCTCAACTTATAACCATTCATTTGACAATTGTTTGATAGCACTAAAAAAAAGCAACTTATGACTAGTCCTTGCACTTATGATGCTGCAGCACCCTTGCAATCTTGAGATCAAAATTTGGTATTTGGCAACCAGCATATATGTAGCATCACATGACTACCATTTGCCCACTTCCCAGAGGGTCTCTGACAAGCAAAGTCAACGGGGGAAGCTGGATTTGATTAATAACCATGTGATTCATTTAATGATCATGGCAAAAAAAATAGTAAAATTGATTGCAATTTATAACTGCATCATTGAGCAACAGACGTTGCAGTCACAGTTGTAGTTATAAGTTGAGGAATACCAAAATGTGGAATGGATATCACCATATAGAATTGGAAGCTAGAGATCAAAATAGTGGATTCAAAAGAGTGTTTGATGTTCTGGACTTCCAATTTCAAATATACCTTTCCAATATGTCTTCTAGGAAATAATGGTTGTTATATGCAGTAACAATTAAGGCAGTCATTTTATGAGACTAGCTATGACTCTCAAAATTTCCAACTACCCATATCTATTTAAATTCTTAATTTCTGGCAAATTGGTTAAACTAGAGTTTGTTAAAATGTATTTCTTAAACAATTTAAATAATATAACAATTGTAAAATAAATAAAATTTGATCCATCTTAAGTTTTAGATACCCTTACGTTAACAAAATGTTTCAAAGCAGAGCTGTTAGGAACTGAAAGATCTCAAAATGATTTCAAAGGAAAATAGTTGTTTTCAGCTAACAACAACCTGTTGCAGTAAATGATTTGCATTTGAGTTTTAATTACAAAGCAATGGATATTAAGACAACTCATAATTGTTAATTTGAGAGATACAAGAATTACCATTATGTTTCTGAAGAAAGCTAATGACTTTTTCAAGAACTGTAGTTTTGTCCATTTTACGTGTGTTTCCAGGAAGCATTGAACTGAGCTCCTTAATGAGAATATTGAACTGGTCACGTCTCTTCTTTTCAGACTTATTACGTGAAGCCCTATGAACAGAATGACATGGAATCACTCATGTTTATTTATTACTATGATCTGTTCTTAAGAAAATTAGTTCTTTACATTAGAATGAAATAAACTAAAAGACAACAAAGAGCTAAGAGAACATAATTGCTTTGGCTGAAAGTATACCCTAGTGTTGTAAATTCAAATTCCTAAAGCTAACAAATGAAGGAAAGAATCCTGCATTTCTCACATTCCCATGTTCAATGCAAAAATGCAAAAAAGAATGATGCAAAACAATTATGGATATTCTACTGCTTTTTTAATATTACCAGGTTTCTTCTCTTGCTGTTTTTCTTCTAAAATAAAAAACTGTGTTAAACATACAAATATGTTTCCCAAAAAACTGGCTACTGACCTCTTTGCCCTGTCTTTCTCATCCTCATCCATCAGATTGTCTGAACAGCGTTTTCTGTTGAAAGAATTAAAAATAATTTTAATATGTAATTCACTAGATTTCTTTTATGCTTATATTTCAAACAAAATAATGTGCCATTACTTAATTCATTTTGACACTATATTTAAGTCAGTAGCTCTATGAATCATCAATCAGCACTCTTGTTTTCTTCTTTTAGTCATATTACAATCTTTTCTGAACAATAATTTCTTTCCTTCTTTCCATCTATCCATCCTGATTATGGAAGGATGCCCCAGAAATATCTTGTTGCATATAGAATGTAACTTTTTCCCAAAGTTCCAACACAAAGGTTACTTGCAAAATAGCATTACAGAAGTGATAACATACAATATGAGACCCTGGGAGGAACCAGCTCCTGCATACAGTATTCAACATGAGATGCAATTCCCTGCAGTGTTTTTGGCAACATGTGATTTACCATTGCCATCTTTCTACAAATCAGAGAGAGTTACTGGCCCTAAGTAACCCAGCTAGCTTCATGTTTAAGGTGAGACCAGAATTTATGCTCTTCCATTTTCTAATCCAATGCCCTCAACCTCTACACCAAACTGACTCCCCATACTCAATTAAGACACCACAAAAACATTAACATAAGTATAATTGCTTATTGCGATATTATGTTATTTCAGATAGATGCAAACAAGCAAATACATAATTTCATGTTTTAGAGTTCGTGGCATTAAAGCAAGACACATGTTGTAATCAAGTACTTCTTTATTCGTTCCTCAACTCAACTCTCTACCAAGCAGGCACGCAGGCCTTTTATAGTCTCCCCAAACCCAGGCAGTCCGGCCAATAGGGAAGAACCTTTTTTCGCGCCTTGCGCATGCGCACAACTCTAGCGCCAGCCAGTCTGGTCCCGAGCAGCTTTTCGATTGCCCGGGACCGTTTGCAACATTTCTGGGCCTGCTGAAATGCTTCAGCAGGCCCAGGACACAACACCCCTCCCCCCTGGATGAAACATGCAACAGAAGGCATATGTCACAGGTGTCTAGGACAGGATAAGTGTTAAACACAAGTTTCTTTTACTGCGCATAGGCAGAGCACTTTATACTAATCATAATAATAACAAATAAACTTTTAACAAAATAATTACAACAACCACTTTGTGGAACATAATTCTTTGACTAGTAAGATGGCCTTTATTTAGGTGGCCCTTTGGCCCTTTGTGACCGTTGCAGGGTCAGGGAGGGTGCCTGGCCTGACAGCTCGCCTGCCAGTCTAGGCAGACCAGGACTTCTATTTAATGGGCCTACCTGCCCGTCTGGTGGGCTCGATAGACCAGGACTTTGATGTCTTAGAATTCCAGGTGACCCACTCCGCTGCTGACTGGCTGGATCTTCTGAATCCAAGCCAGGTTTCCTCGGAGGGGTGGAAATCCCGAAGCCCAGTGGTGGAGTTGAATTCTCCAAGTCCACAATGGACTCCTCTTGGGAACATTGTCCCTCGAGCCCGCAACCAGCATCGGAAGTGGCCTGCGTTGCAGAAGTGACCCAGTAGTCCCAGTCCCCCGTGTATGTGGCCGAGGTGCCAGAGTCAGGAGCTGCCTCCATGGCAAACCCCCTCTCTTGTGGCTCCCTGTTTGGAGTGCTTGCAGTATTGTGTGGATACCCCCGGTGAGACTCCCTGTCTGGAGCAATAACTGATGTGCGGGATGACCCTCCCTTCCGGAGAATTCCTGTTTGGAGCACTTGCTGAACCTTGAGATGACCCCCGAACAGCCTCAGCGGCAGTCTCAGCAGCTTGTGAGACACTGCTAGAACTGGGAAACTGTAAACCAGAATGCAGATTATAGTCCTCCTCCCCCCCAGAGCAGAGCCAGGAGCGGAAACATGGCTGTTAAGCCTCCAGCGCAGTTGATCGATGTGTCTGCGAATGACACGACCATCATCCAAGGCCACTTCGTATGACAGCGGCCCAGAGACCTTGCATACCACTGCTGTGACCCAGAGATGTCCAGGCCCATAGTTCCTTGCCCAGACCGGATCACCCACCTGAAGTCTCCTAGGTGCCCGTGGCTGTGACATCTGTGAAGCCACCTGGTCTGGGTGCAGTCTGTTCAACTTCGTGATGAGGCGTCGACCCCAGCGGAGTTCAGCTGGGCTCTTTCCAATGGCAGTGCATGGTATGGTACGGTGTGCAAGAAGAAAATCTGCTAACCTGTGATGCCAGCTACCGTGCATGATTCTTTTGAGTGCATCTTTGGTGGTGCGTACCATCCGTTCAGCTTGCCTGTTGGTGGAAGGGTGGAAAGGAGCTGACGTTGCATGCCGGATCAAGTTGGCCTGTAGGAAAGCCAGGAACTCAAGAGAAGTAAATTGGGGCCCATTGTCAGAGACGAGGACATCAGGAAGTCCATGGGTAGCGAAGATTCCTCTCAACACCTGGATGGTCCTAGCAGTAGTAGTGGAGGAGATAGGTACAACCTCTAGCCACTTGGAATGGCTATCCACCAGGATAAGGAAGAATTGCCCCTGAAAGGGCCCAGCATAATCTAAATGTACCCTTGACCAAGGGGTTTGTATCTCCTCCCACCTGTATACAGGGGCCTGAGGCATTTCAGGCCGTGACTGTTGGCACATCTGGCACCAATGCACCTGGGCTTTGATAGCTTTATCAAGCCCAGGCCACCAAAGATGACTGCGTGCAAGCGCTTTCATGCACACAATGCCCGGATGTCCCTCATGCAGAGAGAACAAGACTCTAGACCTCAGTGAGGCTGGGATAACTACTCTACTACCCCATAATAGGCACCCCTTAAATGTAGACAGTTCGTGCCTCCTTTGCCAGAAGCTTTGAAACGCAGCATATGGACACGTGTCAGGCCATCCTGACAACACCGATGTCAGCACGCGTGTAAGCGTGTGATCAGTGGCAGTTTCTGCAGCCACGTCCCTAGCATTGAGGGGAGATTCAGGCAGTTCCTGAATAGAGAGAATATTAACAGCAGGGGCAGGATCTGCCTCTATTTGTGTGAGAGGTAGCCTACTGAGGCCATCTGCATGGCCCATTTCTTTCCCAGGTTTGTGAATGAGTGGGTAGTCATATGCTGACAGGAAAATTGACCACCTCAGTATACGTGGGTATATGATGTGTGGGGTTTGTTTAGTCGTTGTAAACAACCCCAGGAAAGACTTGTGGTCTGTATAGACCATGAAGTGGCGGCCATTAAGAAATCATGGAATGTCTTTATGCCAGCCACTATGGCCAAGGCTTCTCTGTCAATCTGAGCGTAATTCCGCTCTGCAGATGACAGATTCTTTGAGTAGTAAGCCACAGGGACTTGTGTCCCGTCAGCCTTCAGGTGACTGAGTACTGCACCCACCCATAAGGGGATGCATCACATGCGATGCACACTGGCAGTTGCTCGTTAAAATGTGCTAATACCGCATTTGATGAGAGCAAGGCCTTGACCTCTTTAAAACTCCTGTCATGGACCTTAGTCCACTGCCATGGAGCTTGCTTATCTAAGAGCCGGTATAACGGCTCAGCCACTGCAGCCTTATGGGGAAGAAAAGCATGATAGAAGTTGAGAAATCCCAAGAAAGCCTGAAGCTCGCTTTTAGACTTGGGACTTGGGGCCTCCTGAATGGCCTTCAGTTTGGATTCTGCAGGGTGGATGCCTTGAGCATCTATTTTAAAGCCTAAAAATTCTGTGGAAGTAACTCCAATTTTGCATTTGTCTTTTTTCAATTTGAGACCCGCTTGGCGGAACCTCAGCAAAACAGCCCGTAACCTCTCAGCCAAATTCTGTGATGACTCCCCTGCGATGAGGACGTCATCGAAGTAGGGGCAAACCCCCAGAATACCCCTGAGCGTGCGCTCCATGACGCTCTGAAATATGCCAGGAGCAACATTCACCCCAAATTGTAACCTTTTTACCCTAAAGGAATTTGCACAATATCTGCATGACAAAGTCGCTCGGATGCGAGAGGGTTTGGACTCCGACTGGGTGGCTCCAGGGGAGGTGGCGAGGGCAGGTCTTGAGACTGTTGTATGGGAGGAGTTTGACTCTGTGGCTCCCGAGGACGTGGACAGGATCCTGGGGAGACTGAATGCAACCACATGTTTATTGGATCCGTGTCCCTCCTGGTTGGTACTGGCGGCTCGGGAGGGTACACGAGCCTGGCTCCAGGGAATTACAAACGCTTCTTTAC